AAACATGGCCACACAGCCAGAAAAACCCACAAAAAACTCTGGATGCCGGCCATGAAAGCCTATGACTTCACAAAGCATATATGACTCACATCCCACAAGTGATAAGCAAGAGACAAAGAACACTCCCCCTCCACAGAAACGGCCCAAGAGAGCTTGATGCCTGGACTGGAGTAGCAAATACCCCTGCTTCTGCAGTTCCTGTGTGTAGTAGCAAAGGCTAGCCAAGTTATTTCATGGCTCAGTTGGAGGACTAGTATCTGGACCTTCCAAGTCCAAGTACAGAATTCTAATGACTCCACCACATTGGCTTTCTACCCCTGTCCCAGCTGGACACTGAGAATCCTGGTTTTGGTTAATGAATGGAGGCAAGAACAGCAAGCTTCATTCCTATAGATGTGACAGCTTCATGGGCCAGGTTTTCGCTTTACCTGGGTCCTGTGAGATGAATAATGTTGTGAAGATGCTCAAGGACCAGATCATGTACAGGTATCATGAAAATAGGAAGGGCTTCTCTAATGGACCTAGAAACATTGCTTGGGGGAAAAGCCACAAATGATAGTCATGGGATTGTTTTGACCTCAATCTACAGATAATTAAATCATGAACATACAAAGCCAGGCAGTGCTTTTTTCTGGTTCATGCCACCCCCTCATGAACCATCAAGATCCTGCTCTCAAAGCTACATTTACCATTCTCTTTGTGAGTCAGAATTGTTGATTGGCTGAGTTTCCCAGAGCGGCAGCCTTCACGATCTTGCTGCTGCTACTGTACAATACATGATCTCTGTCTGCAAAGGGACCTTGCAGAACCTCTGAGACTAAGGGGGGTTGCAGACTGCCAGAAATAGTGCAAATTGAGTCCACTTTTAGGGTAAGGGTTAGGGTTAGGGAATCATGGGAACTGTAGTTTATTATGGCAGCAGAGCTCTCTGACAGAGAAGGCTCAATGTCTCAGAAAAAAACCAATTCCCATGATTCCCTAGCACTAACACTAACCGTAAAAGTGGACTCAATTTGTACTATTTCTGGCAGTCTGCAACCCCCGTAAATGATTAAAAATGTTGTAACATAAGCCACAAGTATACTTTGAAGATTATTGCAGTGATAATAAAACCAGCTTACCTGAGCTATCTTAAAATTTAAAACGGGTGGCATCCTGATGTTATCAGAAGGATTTAGCTACTGAAATCGCTATCCAGGTCCAGCCCGGGTCCATTTCTGCTCACAGGGGCACTCATCCGCTGGCTCTTTTCAAAGCCAGCAGTTTTCCAGCTTAAAAAAATGGCCACCAGAATGGCCCTGGGAGTGGGATGGACCCAGGATGGACTCGGGCAGCGATTTCAGTGCCTAAATCCTTCTGATAACATCAGGATGCCACCTGTTTTAAATTTTAAGCTGGCTCAGGTTTCATTATTTCTGCAATAATCTCTTTGGTGTACTTCCTCAGATGCAATGCAAAGGTGCTAGAAGATTGCTTTGCATACTGATATTCCAGACTAACATGACGATGTCTCAGTTCTACCCCTCTACTTTGTGTGTGTGTAAATAAATAACAAGAGCCAACATGGCATAGTGGTTTGAGTACTGGACTACAATTTTGGATACCAGGGTTTGAATCCCAGCTTGGCCATGAAACCCACTGGGTGACTTTGGACAAGTCACATGCTCTCAGCCTCAGGGGAAGGCAACGGCAAATCTCCTCTGAACAAATCTTGCCAAGAAACCCCCATGATAGGGTCGCCATAAGTCAGAAGTGACTTGAGCTGCCACGGCCCATTCCAAACTTTTTGATTTCTGGTATTTAGGGCTCTGTGCTCTAATTCCCCTCCCCTAATAGCTGGCAGCTTGACTATTGTGACATGCAGTATCTAAGTATTTAAGATCTAATTCCCACATCATCATCATCATCATGATCATCATCATCATCATCATCATTTGTGGATAGAGGGGTTAAGGATTTGGGGCTCTGAGGAGGATCTGGGGTAAAGGGCTACAAGAGACTTCCCCAAAGACTCACATATCCTACCTTAGACTCAGTGCATGCAATCAAATTTCAATCAGTTCAATTCAACTGCAAGCTTATTGATTGATTCAAATAATCTCTCTATACCATTCCTGATTTATAGCAGTTTTTAATATATGTTTTTTACTCTTTCCTTACCTCCTAAAACATATGTGGGGGCAGATACCATTGTAGAAAAGTTATTCCTCTTTCCCCTCTCTCATTCCCTTCTAACTTAAGACTTGTGCCATACATTAGCTTGTATTTGTTTGTTGGTCCCCAACTAGAGTTAGACCCATTGAACTAATGGAATTTACATAAATGTTGACTCACCTTTAAACAGTTGATTCAGTGAGTCTGCTTTAATTGGGGCTAGCTAATAGAATTCCGACCAATAATTGGATTTTTACAAAATGAAAGTCACAGGATATGTAATTGATTGATTAATCAAGTTTAAGCTCATACAATTAGATTTCTTTAACTGAGGGTGACCTGAGTTTTAAAGTCTTCCAGTTTTATTACACATGAATAAATAAAGCAGATGCCCTGGGAATAAGAGCACATGAAAAATTTGCTCCATTGAGGGTTTTCTTTACAATTGAATTTAGCTGATTCTCAGACTGAACACAGGAGACAGAATTTGCAGTCAGTAATCTGTACATTGCTATGCCTTTGATTTGGAAAGAAAAAGAAAAATGCACCTAATGACATAAATGTGTTTGGAAAATGGTTACCATACCTTAATGTATAATGTGCACATATATGCACACTTTAATCAGTGGACCCATGCAACATTAATATGCCCATTAATTATTTTGTTTCAACAAGAAGCAAAGAAATTGAACATATTTTCCCATGTATTTTTTTCAAAAAGACCTGGCAAGGAACAGACTTGGCAGTGGAAATGGAAGGAAACCTGCAAGAATGGGGTTGATCCCTACCTGAGATAAACATTAAGCAGGAACCTGTAGCACCTTTGAGACTAGGTGAGAGAAAACATTTGGTAGCATACACTTTTGTAAACTTGGCTCTTCTTCATCAGATACACGGAATGAAGTGCCCAGGAACAGACCTTTATAGCTCTGAATGTGCTGATTCCATGGATGAACAGCAATAGAAATGCAAAATTTGTGAGTATGGCGATAAAGTGACAAGTTCAGTTTTGACAATGGTTATTGGGGGACAAAGGACGTTTTCACACAGGCGGCTCTAAAGCCGCCTGGAAGCCATCAGGAGTCATTCCGGCGGCGAAAACAGCAGCCGCCGGAATGACTCCTGATTGCCTCCGGCAGAAGCGCCTGTAATTCCTCTTTTAAAAAGGAATTACAAAAATGGGGCTAAAGCCGGCTAGCGGCAGGGATGGCGCAGGGATTGCGCAAGATGGGGCGGGGCTTGCTGCGACGTCGTGTGAACACTCGCAGCAAGACCCTGGAGTGAGGCAGGGATGGCGCAGGGATGGCGCAGGATGGGGCGGGGCTTGCTGCGATGTCGTGTGAACTTATCCTGCACAGAGCCGGAGTGGGGCCGGACGGAGGTAGGAATGACTCCGTCTAAAGCCCCGTGTGAAAACGTCCAAAGTCAGGAGGAAGGATGTTGCCTAAAGCCAAGGTAAGTAGAAAACCATATGAATGGTGGTGGAAGTATTGGAATGTAGTGCAGGAACCAGAAAGAAGATGTGATGAAATGGTCAAGAGAACCCTTATAATGTGTATAGTGTGCCTTTCTACCACAATAATCAACATTAAAACAAAACTTATCACCTTGTCACCATCCCCACAGGTTTTATATTTCTATGGATATTCCCACACACAGACTGCTATATAAATAAACATATTAAATACAGTGGGGTAGTAAAATGGTATCCCTTATGTTGTTCTTGTATGCCTTCAAGTCGTTTACAGTTTATGGCAACCCTAAGGCAACCCTATCATGGGGTTTTCTGGGCAAAATTTGTTCAGAGGAGGTTTGCCATTGCCTTCCCCAAGGTTGAGAGAGTGTGACTTGCCCAAGATCACCCAGTGGGTTTCATGGCCGAATGGGGAATCGAACCCTGGTCTACAGAGTCATACTCCACCACTCAAACCATTATATCACATTGGCTCTCATATAATATGACTGGGGAGGCACCAATATAATATAAAATAGCACCAATTCTTATACACATCTCTTCTTTGTGCCTCTTCAACACACAATGTAACCATCTTTTTCTTCTACCTCTTCAGTAAGCCAGCTATCAGTTGCCTTTTGAACAATATAAATGCCTGGATATCTGCAAAACAAGAGGCAATGCTTCTCTGGAGGCCAATCAAACCCAAGGAGCTTTGTGTTCCTGCTGACCAGAAACCGAAGAATAAAATCAGGAAAAGCTTTGGTGCGTGTGTGAAGAAATAGCAACTGGCAATTCAGTTTTGCTTTGCCAAGTGCTGTGGGAGAGGTGATTTTGCAGATGTGCTTTTTGGAAAACATTCCAGGCTCAGTGGCGAGATGGTGCTGCGTGGCAGCGATGTGGGAAATGCTGGCTTGGCTCTTTCCCGGTGCAACCTCATCAATCTCTTGTCCTTTTTGAAGCCTTTCGGCAAGCTGTTCTTATTTCCCCTGGCCCCACTGAGAGCTGGAGATGGAATTATTTGTCCTGCGTGTGCCTCTGCTCTTGCAGATGGGTACAGCATGAACCAGCCCAATCCCTGTTATGCAAAACTGTCCAGCCATTCAGAGCTCCCACACCACCTCCTCTTTCCAGTCCATAAAACTGTCCAAGGCAGCAGAGAACAGGGGTGAGGAATTGTTCCTCCCCCTTCAAAATTATTATTTGAATCAAGGGAAGTAATGGTGCAATTCTATTCTGTTTTGGTCATCCCTTACCTGGAATAATACTGTGTCCAGTTCTGGGCACCACAATTCAAAAAGGATGTTGAAAAACTGGAGCATGTCCAGAGGAGGACAACCAAAATTGTGAAAAGTATGGAAACCATGCCTTATGAGAGACTTAGGGAGCTGGAGATTTTTAGACTGGAGAAGAGAAGGTTAAGAGGTGATATGAAAGCCCTGTTTAAGTATTTGAAAAGGTGGCATATTGAGGATGGAGCAAGCTTGTTTTCTGCTGCTCCAGAGAATAAAATTTGGAGCAATGGATTCAAACTACAGGAAAAGAAATTCCAGCTCAACATTACGAAGAACTTCCTGATGGTAAGAGCTGCTGAACAGTGGAACATGCTCCCTTGGAGAGTGCTGGAGTCTCCTTCTTTGGAGGTTTTTAAACATAGGCTGGATGGATATCTGTCATGGGTAGTTTGATTGTGAGTTCCTGTATAGCAGGTGGTTGGACTGGATGGCCCTTGGGATCTCTTCCAACTCTATGATTTTAAAAATGTCACCATGCATGACTGGGGAGACTTTTCTTCAACCAGGAAATGGATTGGAAGCTGACCTGGTTTATGTAGGGTGTCCACGCTGCAGAATGAAAGCAGTTTGATACCACTTTAACTGCCATGACTCTATTGTACAGAATCTGATGAGGCACCAGAGCTGTCTGACTCAGCAGAGCATTTCTTCAGTCCTGTCTGAGCTATATCTTCTCTGCTGCTTTGAAAGCAAAATAACTCAACTGGGCAATGTTCTTCCTATGTTGCTCTCTTCCCACTTCACCAGAGAAGGAGGGAAGGGGAGAAAGGAGAGGAAAGGGACAAGATTCCTCAAGTATCATGCTATTTACAGCTACTCATAACATCAAGAAGAAGTAGATAAGTGTGAAAGGGCCCCCAATTCCATTCATCCCCAAGAAGCCACATCATTGATCCTGGCAGAACTGGAAGCGATGTCATGTCACTTTCTGTTCTGAGATTCAGTCTTAAGTTTGTTGTTGTGTGCCTTCAAGTTGTTTCTGACTTATGGCGACCCTATCATATGGTTTTCTTGGCAAGATTAGTTCAGAGGAGCTTTGTCATTGCCTTCCCCAGAGGCTGAGAGCATGTGACTTGCCTAAGGTCACCCAGTGGGTTTCCATGGCTGAGCTGGGAACTGAACCCTGGTCTCCAGAATCGTAATCCAACATTCAAACCACTATGCCATACTGGCTCTCCTTCAGCCTAAGTACCATGGGTTTCTATGGGGAAGCTTGTGGGGAAAGTGTGGGGCTGGAGGGACACACCAAAATTTGGGGGGAGGGAAATCAACTGATTTTTCTGCTGGAAAAAAATCTCCATGAATGACCTAAACAGCCACAAAATGTGGTGGTTTGAGTCATCTGAGGACAATTTTTAGTTGGGGAAAAATCAGCTAACATTTCCCCCCATTTTGCTAAGAATTCTCAGGGCAGGGAGAGAAAATTCAGGAGCTGCATGCAGTCCCTAGGCTAGACTTTCCCCACCTCTCACATCCCGCAAGGACAAGAGGGTTTTAAATTCATTCCATGAGGATGCTGTGGATCAGCCCCCATAGTAGCTGGGGGATCATCTCTGATAGCAGGTGGAACTGGTAATATTGTACTTCTCTACAATTTCATACTGGGATGAAGGTGAGGAGAAAACAAAACCACTTTCTTTGCTTTGTAGTTGTGAAGAGCCTCTCCTGCTGTACCAACCTCTCCTGCTGAAAAAATTAAAGCATTGGCCCCCTTCTCGTTAAAGCA